TCCCCCGATGGATCATGCAAAGTAGATGTATCATTTAGGCATAACGGAAGCCCCATCACCTACAAAACATTTGTAGAAAAAATAGTCAACACGACGGTTGAATAAACACAATTAATGAAAAGTAAATTAATACAATATATGTCATGATTCACATATAAGTACAACAAAATTATTTGAATAAGATAATTTAAATGAAATGTCACATATCATATAAAGACAATTTCACACGTACAAGTCTTTTAGTGTTTTCCTTATGTCTCATTTTTATTCTCAAATAATTGTAATAAAAATCCACTATGCCTTAATTAGGGCTAGCTTGACACGGTTTTTCAACCTTTTAATTCGCTTAACACGTCACATAACTACACATAGCAAATATAGGGTCACAACCCTCAAGAAAAGCTCCACGGTAGGTACTTAAGGGATCGAAGCCCAAAGTACACGCCAAATGGCTATACACTCTAGTCCTCCAATATAATATACCAAAAGGGAATTGTACGCAATTCATCCCTCCATCACGGATGACGGTCTAAAGACTATTCCATCGTGAATGAAGGGCGCCTCGAAATCATCCAAAAAGGGAACTCGCCATCTCGATCCCACGACCTAGCCCATTCGGGTTCTGGTTCGAGGTTAGCTAGTTATCCTAAAATATGAGTATACTCTTACATGTTTGCAAGACACGGATGTGAAAGACTATACCTTATCATCCCAAATCGACAAGTTGATCGGACTTGACGAGTAGTTTCAATTACCAATTTGACATAATACTCAACATGCTATTAGATAATCTTAAAAAGAGCTTTCAACCAAAAACATCTCATTTGCCTACATTTAACCAACCAATCAATAAAAGCATCGGCAAAGTAACCATATTTTGCAATATAAGCGAAAGTTAAATGAGGGCTTTCAAAGTTGCTAATGAAATATTTTTTTCGTCTAACAATATTTTCATTTAATAACCAAGTAAGAAGTAGTATTAAAAATCCAACAAGTTCATTAAAATATTACTTTATTTTTGCAAAATAACTATTTGGACATTATGTCCATCCAAATAGGCATACTAATTCCAAACATCACAATATTTATAAATTATCACATATCTTTTTTTCAAAAAAAAATATCATAAATTAGATTAGGGAAAAATTAGGTTTCTAACACATTTCATAACACTACCAAAAAATTTCTATTTGTATCGGAAATCGGTTCAGAAATTTAAACTAAGTCCAAGACTATTTCTAATTAGCCCCGGAGTTTGTTTCGGATTGGTATTCGAGGCTAAAAACTTGTCGTTGTTTTGAAAGTCTCAGAAACTCCGAGGCTATTTTGCATAGTCTTGAAATTTCCGAAGTTAATTTGAGTAGTCTCGAAAATTTTGAAACCTAATTCGAACCAAAAATACCTGGAAATGTGTGAAAATTTTGATAATTGCATCGGAATTTTATGATACAATTATTAAATATTTTTTTTAAAAAAATTAATTTTGATATTTGCCTCGAAACATTCTGAGGCAGTTACTAAGATATTTTTTTAAGAAAATTAATTCAAAATTTACTCCGGCCTTTGCTGTCGCCGCCACCTTCGTCGGAGTAGCTGCCACCTTCGTCGGAGTAGCTGCCACCGCCGCCGGCGGAGAAGAAGAAGGAAAAGACGTCGTTGCTGCCGCCGTTGCCATCGGAGAAGAAGACGAAGGAGGCAGCTCCACTGCCCCGCCGCTGTAGCTACCACCGACGCCGCCAGAGAAGGAGGATGCTTCGCCGCCATAAAAGAAGAAAAAGAAAGAAGAGGACATGCCTCCGCGCCTACCCTCACTGCCGCTGCCGTCGCCGTAGCCAGAGAAGAAGGAGGAGGAGAAGGGAGCGTCGGTTCGCCGCCATCGTCGTCGCTGAATTGTCATCTTTGCAGCCGCCGTCGCCGGAGAAGAAGAAAAAGAAGATATGCCGGCCCACCGCCGTTGTCGCCGCGTTGTCGTCGTCACAGCCGTCGCTGTCATTGTTGCCTTCGCCGGAGAAGAAGGATGATAAAGGTCCGCCGGCCTGCTGCCGTCGTCACAGCCGCCACTGTCGTCGCCGCCGTCGCCAGAGAAAAAGGAGAAAAGATCCGTCGGTCAGCCGCCAAAACGGCCGAAAAGAAGATGGAGGAGGAGTGGAGGAGGAGAAGAAATAATTTTGGGAGAATGAATTTTTTTTTAATTACGTAATTAGGGTATATTTGTTTAATTTTTTAATAATATAAATATTAATAAAAATAATTATTATTATTAATAGTATAAAAATATAATAATTATAATATAGGAGTACTATTATTATTTTATATATTTATATTTTAAATTTTGTAATACATCAAGAGTATTTAATTTAAGGGTGTGTTTTGTTTGGGAGTTTGGATTTTGAAATGAGATTTGAATAGTATAATATTTTGAATTTGAATAGTTGTATAATGTGACGTAAATAGGTGTTGATGTGATGTTTTGAATATAAAATTGATTTTTAGTATAATATAAAAAATAAAAAAGAAGTATTTGATTTAATATTTTTAGGGAGAAAAAATAAAATGAACAGTGGAAATCTAATTCATGCCTCCAAACAAACACACCAAACTATCTTATTAAAATATATTAATTTTTTTATAATTTATTTTTATTTGTAATTTAAAATTTGTTTTAATTACTTATGAAATTTATTATTTTAATTATTTTTATGTTGTAACAATTTAATCAATTATTATTTTTATATTTTTACACAATAAATAAATCAATATATATTTGCATAAAAACAAAATTAAAGTTAATTAATTTATAGTAGCGGTGAAGTTAAATGATTTGATATATTCGAAAAGTTTCGAGACTAATTAAAATAAGTTTGGATGTTTCAAAACTAATAAAAGTTCGGAATTTTCCAAGACTATAAAAGTTCAGAAATTTTGAAACTATTTAGAATAGATTCGGAAAATTCTGAGACTAAATAAAATAGGCTCGAAAGTTCTAAGACCAAGAAAGATTCAAAAATTTTCGAGACTAATTAAAATAAATTCGAAACTTTCCGAGACCGTAAAAATTCAGAATTTCTAAGACTATTTAGAATATGTTCGGAATTCTGAAACTATTTACAATAATAGGCTTGAAAATTTCAAGACTAATAAAAGTTCAGAATTTTTCGAGACTAATTAAAATAGGTTCAAAATTTTTCAAGACGGTAGAAGTTCGGAATCTTCAAGACTATTTAAAGTAGGTTCGAAAATTCTGATACTAATTAAAATAACTTCGGAAGTTTTGAGACTAATAAATATTTGAAATTTTCCGAGACTAAAAAGGTTTGGAATTTTTGAAACTATTCAATATAATAAAATATATATTTAAAATAGCTTCAGAAAATCCGAAATAAAATTAAATAGTCTCGAAATTTTTTAGACAAAAAAATTAATTGATTTTATATTTATTATATATATATTTTTTATTGTATTAAAATTGATTTTGAGTAGATCTGTCAAAACGGGTTAGTGGGGCGGATTGAGCCACAACCCACCATAACCCACAAATAAGCGGGTTGTTTGCGGGCCAACCCGCGATGGGGCAGATAAAAATTTTATCAGCACAACCCAACCCACCGGCGGGTAGCGAGCTAAGCGGGCTAGCCCGCGGGCTTTTTAAAAATATTAAAAGAATATTAATTTTATAAATATTTTCGTAATTAATATTTAAAAATAGCTAAAAATAGTTTTATTGTAGAATTTAAATAATAAATATTTTAAAATAAATAACAAATATAAAAATTCTCAATTCTAAATATTATTAATTGGTGTATTTAAAAAAATTAATAATAAGAAATACTTCATTTTAAAAATAAATCATAATTAATTTTATGAATTTGTAAAATTATAAAATAATAAAATGAAAGACTAACAAAACAAATGATGAAAAATCGAAACAAATAACAATTCTATGAATAACATAGTTACAGAAGAAAAACAATGTGTAGACAATATTGATAATTTATTTAAGCTAAGGATAATATAAATTTTATTTTATTCGTCTTAACTTATTTATAATGGTATGTTTGTAATTTATAAAAAATTAAAATATATTTTCTATATTAATATTTGATTAGTTTTATTATAATTTTTTAATATGACAGTAAAAAATTGTAAAAAAATACATTTAGTTAGACGAGTGAGTACTAATTATTATATTTACTTGACCCGCGGGCTAATCTGCCCCACTGCGGGTTAACCCACCCTCAACGCGCGGCCTATGCGGATTGGCCTATTTAGACCCGCATTTTAACGGACTTAAAAAATCACAACCCAACCCTCCTTAAAAGTAAGGCGGGGCGGGCCAACCCGACGGGCTCAACCCATTTTGACAACTCTAATTTTTGAGACAATCTCCTATGCTAATTAATAAAAGTTTGATAGCATAAATCCTGTCACCTTTCCCCTTAAATCACTATAAAGATTTTCATATAAACCCTAAAGAAGCATTCTAATGAACTTTATAAATAGAAAATAACAAAATTAAATATGTTAGAACAAATCCTTTAAAGATAATTTAAAAAATATCACAAAAAATCAAAAAATAAGTTTATATTATACACGTATCATAAACATATAGGTACATAGCCATGTTGTATGTTTTTATATTTTCTTCGGTACAGGGTTTTCAGCCTATAAATATGTGTATGCAATAATCAATTTGTATTGCCTTTTTATCACAATCAATTCACTTCCATCTCTCTCTCGCCTTTATATATATATATATATATATCCACATACATACATACATATATGCTATACATATATATATATCATAATATACATGCAAGTTATTACATTCATATATATTATTATATAATATATTATATACAATATATAAAACAGTGGTTAGCGGTAGAAATAATTAATATTTCTATTGGCTATCCCTATAATAATATTACAACACGTTATCAGCACGATTATATATTTTAATTTCCGCAAGGTAATATTTCATATTTTATCTGTTTATTATGACTAACCTTGCTAAACAGGAATTTCTCCCTCTCCTCATTTCTGGCCAAAATTATATGGCATGGGCTCGCGATGTTAAAATGCATCCGGCATCAATGAGCTTGGGAAATACCATTGCCCGGGATAAAAATTCCCCGAGCCAAGATCGTGCAAAGGCCATGATCTTTTTGTGCCATCACATTGATGAGGCACTGAAAATGCAGTATGTCACGCTGGAATCCCCGCTTGAATTGTGGGAGAGATTGAAAGAAAGATACGATCACTTGAGGCTGACATTATTGCCAAGGGCACGAAGTGAATGGCAAAGCCTACGGTTTCAGGACTTTAAAACAGTCCAAGAATATAATTCTGCAATGTTCAAAATAACATCACAGCTGCTCCACTGTGGCGAAAATATATCTGAATCTGATATGATGGAGAAAACTTTCTCCACTTTTCATGCCTCTAACATGGTTTTGCAGCAGCAGTATCGCGAAAGAGGCTTCCAGAAATATTCTGAGCTGATCACCTGTCTTTTGCTGGCCGAACAAAATAACGAATTGCTGTTGAAAAATCACGAATCTCGGCCGACAGGTGCAAATCCATTTCCAGAGGCAAATGCAATACAACCGGCAAATCTGTTGCGTGGCCGTAGGGAAGTCAGAAATCAAAGAATTGATCGTGATCAAAATTAGAATCGCGGACGGGGCCGGGCAAACGCATAAAGTCACAATAATTATCGAAACAGGCCCCGATATGTGCCAAATCGGCGTTATAATAACAGAAGGCCGTACAGACCTCAATAGAGGTTCAACACCGGGAGAAACATAAACAATGACGAGGAATGCACCCGGTGTGGAATCAAAGGCCATTGGGCCCATGTTTGTCGCATAGCCAGTCACTTGGCTGAACTGTATCGGGCCTCAAAAGAAAGGCAGGGAAGAGTTGCTGCCGAAACAAACCACCCTGCCCACGATGACACATTTGACGATGTGGTGAATGAAAATATCATGCACCTGGATGCCGATGATCTGCTTGATATAGCTGATGATGTTAAATGACAAAATATTGTTGTATCTATTTTGTTATTTTGATGCTTTTTTGCCCCCCTTTTTGTATTACCCCTTATAATATAAGTCTATTTTAATTATGTTACTAATACATGTCTTTAATTATTTTTACCTTCTTGCAAAGATATGGATGCCAAATATTTTGGAGCCGATGACAACATCTGCCTTATCGACAGTGCTACGACTCACAGCATTCTGAAAAACAAATGTTATTTCTCCCACCTGAATATGGGAAAGACCACTATTGTTACTATCAGTGGTGCATAAAAAATGATTGAAGGCTCAGGAAAAACTACTTTATTTCTCCCAAAATAGACAAAAATGGCAATTGAAAAATTGAGCTTCAGTGATATTCGGAAAAATTGGTATCACATTGAAACATTGAATGAGGCAGAAAATGAGTATCTTCTGATAACTCAGATTGTGAATGGCAAGAGAATTATGAAAGAAAAATTGCTATCATTTTCTTCCGGCTTATATTACTCAAAAATCAGTGCCATTGAAACATATCACTTAGTAGACCAAATGGCTACTAGCAAATTTAAAACTTGGCACGATCGACTTGGGCATCCTGGCAATGTAATGCTGAGGCGAATTGTTGAAAATTCAAATGGCCACTCATTTAAAAAGAAAAATATTTTGAGTCCGAATGAATTTGCCTGTGTTGCCTGTTCCCAAGGGAAGTTAATATTCAGGCCATCTCTAACAAAGGTTGGATTTGAATCCCCAGCTTTTCTGGAAAGAATTCAGGGTGATATTTGTTGACCAATAGATCCACCGTGTGGACCCTTCAAGTACTTTATGGTACTAATTGATGCGTCAACGCGATGGTCACACGTATGTCTGTTATCTACTCGCAATCTAGCTTTCGCTAGACTACTTGCACAAATAACTAAATTGCGAGCACAATTTCCAGATCATCCGACAAAGAAAATACGTTTAGATAATGCTGGAGAATACTCATCACATACATTTGATGATTATTGCATGTCGATTGGGATTACTGTGGAACATCCCGTTCCCCATGTACATACGCAAAATGGCCTGGCTGAATCCCTTATAAAAAAATTGCAATTAATTGCTAGACCATTGTTAATGAGGTCTAAACTTCCCGTATCATGTTGGGGACATACTATATTACATGCAGCAGCCCTTGTGAAAATAAGGTTGATAAGTTATCATTGTTATTCCCCTACTCAATTGGTCTCTGGAAAAATACCAAATATATCTCACCTCCGAATATTTGGGTGTGCTGTTTATGTTCCAATTGCGCCACCTCAACGTACGAAAATGGGACCTCAAAGAAGGTTGGGTATATATGTCGGGTATGAATCACCCTCGATCGCAAAATATCTTGAACCAACAACGGGTGATTTATTTACTGCGAGGTTTGCAGACTGTCATTTTGACGAATCACATTTTCCGACATTAGGGGGAGACAGTAATCGACTGCAAAAAGAAATTTCATGGAAAATACCACTTGAATTTGATCCTTGTACGAAACATAGTAAACTTGAAGTTCAAAGAATTGTGCATTTGCAGAAAATTGCAAACCAATTGCCTGATGTTTTTAATGATGCTGCCAGAGTTACAAAATCATATATTGCAGCAGCAAATGCACCAGCTAAAATAAATATCCCAGAAGGGAAAATGCCGAGTGCTAATAATCATACTGCCCGCGGAAAACGTGGCAGACCGTTGGGTTCCAAGGATAAGAATCCACGAAAGAAGAAAATTGTAAATACTGGTGAAGAGATCAACAATGATTAGATACCTGAAAAGGTCAGTACAACCCTTGAAGAGGTTGATACTAAAAATTCTGATGAAAGTGATAATGAAATTATTGAAACTTCTGTTAACTATACCACCAGTGGAAAATATTGGAATAGAAAGAAAACAAATATTGATAATGCATTTGCATATTATGTAGCACTCGATATAATGAAAGATGACGAGGATTATGAACCAAAATCAGTTGATGAATGTCGGCAAAGAGATGATTGGGCAAAATGGAAAGACGCAATTAAGTCTAAATTGGACTCATTGAAACAACGGCAAGTATTCGGCCCTATAGTCCAAACACCTGAAAATGTAAAACCTGTTGGTTATAGATGGGTGTTTGTGAGAAAAAGAAATGAAAATAATGATATCACAAGATATAAAACAAGACTTGTAGCCCAGGGTTTTTCCCAGAGACCGGGTATTGATTTTGAAGAAACATATTCGCCGGTCATGGATGGAATAACATTCAGGTATCTGGTGAGCCTGGCAGTACACAATAATCTTGATATGCGATTAATGGATGTGGTTACTGCCTATCTTTACGGCTCTTTAGATAATGACGTCTATATAAAAATCCCAGAAGGGATCAACATACCTGAATCATTCAAATCAAAGCCAAAAGAATCATATTCCATCAAATTGCAAAAGTCTTTGTATGGGCTCAAGCAATCGGGCCGAATGTGGTACAATCGCCTCAGCGAAAGCTTAGCCAAAGAAAGTTATATAAATGACCCTATCTGTCCATGTGTTTTCATAAAGAAAAATGAGTCAGGATTCGTAATCATCGTTGTACATGTCGATGATCTCAATTTAATTGGAACTCCTGATGAAATCCAGAAAGTTGTTGAATATCTGAAAAGGGAATTTGAGATCAAAGATTTTGGAAAAACTAAATTTTGCCTTGGTCTGCAAATTTAGCACTTGGAAAGTGAAATCTTCATCCACCAATTAAATTATACCAAAAGGGTACTGAAAGAATTCATGATGGATAAATCACATCCGCTAAGTACCCCAATGATCGTCATGGGCACTCGATCCAGCAAAGGATCCTTTTAGACCGAAAGAGGAAAACAAAGAAACACTTGGCCCTGAAGTGCCATATATGACTGTTATAAGTGCATTGATGTATCTTGCTAACAGCACCCGACCTGATATATCATTTGCTGTAAACTTATTGGCAAGATTCAGCTCATCGCCTACTCGACGACATTAGAATTGGATTAAACACATTTTTCGCTATCTCCAAGAAACAATTGATCTCGGGTTATTTTACTCGAAAGATTCTCGACATGAATTAATTGGATTTGCCGATGCAGGATATTTATCTGATCCTCATAAAGCCAAGTCACAAACTGGCTATATATTCACTTGTGGCGAAACAGTGATCTCTTGGAGATCAATGAAACAAACTATAACTGTCACTTCTTCAAATCATGCTGAAATATTGGCAATACATGAAGCTAGTCGAGAATTTGTTTGGTTGAGGTCAATTACTCAACATATACTGAAAAATTGCGGGTTAATATCCGACGATAAAATCCCCCGACTACATTGTATGAAGATAATACAGCATGTATAGCTTAATTGAAAGGGGGTTACATTAAAGGAGATAGAACGAAATATATTTCACCAAAATTCTTTTTTATTTATGATCTACAAGAAAATGGTGAAATCAATGTGCAACAAATTCGATCAGATAATAATTTGGCGGATATATTAACCAAGACATTACCGACTGCAACATTTGAAAAACTGGTAAAGAAAATTGTAATGCGTCGGTTCAGAGATCTCCAATAATGCTCATATCAGGGGGAGTATCAATACAAGAATGGTGTACTCTTTTTCCTTCACTAGAATTTTTTGTCCCACATGATTTTTTTTTAGTAAGGTTTTAACGAGGCACATTCTTCGTATAAAAGCATCTAAGGGGGAGTATTATACAGGTATCATAAACGTGTAGCTACGTAGCTATGTTGTGTGCTTTTATATTTCCTTCGGTACAAGGTTTTCATGCATATAAATATGTGTCTCCAATAATCAATTTGTATTGCCTTTTCATCACAATGAATTCACTTCCATCTCTCTCTAGCCTTTATATATATATATCCATATACATACATATATGCTATACATATATATATATTATAATATACATGCAAGTTATTACATTCATATATATTATTATATAATATATTATATACAATATATAAAATAGTGGTTAGCAGTAGAAATAATTAATATTTTTATTGACTATCCCTATAATAATATTACAACAGTTTAAAAATTATAACATATAATTTATTTAATATTAATTACATTTATCCTTAGGGTGTGTTTGTTTGGGGATTGGATTTTAAATACACCATTCATCCCATTTTTTTCACAAAAAAAATATCAAATCAAACACCTATTTTTTTATTTTTATATTATACTAAAAATCAACATTTATTTATATCATATCCTATCTCTATTCAAATTCAAAATTTTTATTATTGAAATGCGAACTCAAAATCTAAACCCCAAACAAACAAAGCCTAAAAGAAAAAACCAAAGAATATGGAGATTTAGAGAAGAGCAGAGAAGCAGATGAATAGTTGTTTGGCCCGGTGCTGGAGGAGAAACACTATCTGTTCTCTGTTCTGTCTATTCCCTCTATCTATTTTTAATACTCCCTCCCCTCCGTCTCACATATTATATTTTATTTTTGGCTAACTCTTTAAAATATTATATAATCCCAAAATATTGTCTTCGAAATTAATATTAAAATATATTCCATCCGTATCAGATACTATGTTCACGTTGCCGTTTCTGTCCATCTCACATACCATCTTACTTTCATTTTTTTTTTAAAAAATGATTACACAATTTAATCTTATTTTAAATTTTTAAATTTTATTTTTTTTAATTTTAATTAAACTAATTAGTTATATTAATTTTAATTTATAATTATTTATATTATTTAATTATCTACTAGTTACATTCCTTCTAAAATATTGTGTATACGGTGCAGCGCACACGGTATTTGGGACAGAGGGAGTATTTGTTTTTTACTTTAATTATAAATATATTTTTATATATTCAATTATTTTTATAAATAAAGCAAAAAAGAGTCAAAAAGCCTCTTAATTTTCACTAATCAAATTCCAGTACTTCTCGTATAAAAAAACTATAGGCAGAGGAGGAGAGGGAGTATAATATTTGGATCTTAATGCCCTGGCCGATCTGGTTCGCCTCAACAATTAACAGCCGGGAAACGCCCTCCGCTCCACACTCTGCTTTAAATCGTCGGGCGAATCTGAATATTTGGTTAATGAGAAGATGCTTAACAGCGATCAGCAAGCCGAGGTAGTCCAAGCTATAAGTTTCCAAAACCAAAACCCCCAAAAGATAAACAAAAAAGAAGTTTGATGCGTTTTCTTTAATTTGAAGTTTCGGCGATGTACGTGCCTCTGATGGGCTTGTCTTTTCTCCTTCCGTGAATTAGGAGAAAGTGTATGATCATAGATTCCAGCGCACCGACCAGTGGATGCCCGTTTATTCTTGGCTCGAATCGCTGGACACTGATGAGGTCATAAAGTCCAAAGATGTTGTCGATTGGCTGACGGCGAATCCCGAAATTAGGGATCACTTGTATTCGAGGCATTCCCGCTACCATTTGATGCACTACATCAAAAAATGCCATGTCAAAATCCTGAAGCGAAAGGAGAAGCAGGTAATCCAGCTCTCTGTTTCTGTTTCTGTTTCATTATTTTATTTTATTTTATTTTATTTTAATTTTTTGGTAATTTGTTGCTCTTCTATTACGGTTGCTAGCTAGAGTTATTTTCCAACTCTCTGCAAATAGGGTTTCAATTTGTGTTGAAAGACATTCTGACTCTGTTTGTTCTGGAGCTTCTGGAATTATTAATGTGATTAGTAACATAAATTACGGAATTGGGGAAACTGGAGATTTCAAAATTTTCAATTGTTAGATTGACCTACGACATTCTTGATTAAGTGGATTGAAGTGATATTGCTAGCTTTGTGATTTTAGGAACATTCAATTTTATGGGTGGATGGTTGAAAATTTAGTGAATGTAGAAAAAAAGAATGGCTTTGTGAGGTTAGATACATTAGTATAGATTGATAAATTTTCAGGCAAATTTCCTTTCTGCTGTGAGGTTCTGAAAGAAATTTAGGTCCGTGGAAACTGAAAACTATCAAAAAGTAGAAAGCTTTTACGGCAAGCTCTTGAAGATGTAGCATAATATTTGAGTCTCATGCATTGACACTCAATTTGTGTTTTTGCTCTTCTTTTTGTTTTTCGAATTTGAAAATGTTAGAATGAAGATAAAATAAAATCAACATTTTGATTTTAGGAACATTCAATTTATGGGTGGATGGTTGAAAACGTAGTGAATTGAGAAAAATAGAATGGCTTTGTAAGGTTAGATACATTAGTATGGATTGATAAATCTTCAGTAGCAAAGTTCCTTTCTGCTTTGAGGTTTTGAAAGAAAATTAGGTCCATGGGACTGAAAACTATTGACAAGTAGAAAGCTTTTTCCTTTCTTCAGTTAGTGAATTGAAGATGTAGCCAAGTATTTAGTCTCATACATTGACACTCAATCTGTGTTTACATTGACACTCAATCTGTGTTTTTTGTTTTTCTTTTTCTTTCGATTGTGAAAGTGTTAGAATGAAGATAAAATACAATCGACAAGAGCACTCTAATCGACAGAAAGATGGAAGGAGAAACATTTTTGTTGGGTTAAAAGCTTTTTACTTCAGTCATTTTTACAAATATCACACTGGAACGTTTGTAATTCAATGTTGTCTCCCTTTAATGTTTCTTTTGGTACGTATAGTGGGTTTGGTGAAGATTATGTGAAGCACTGACATAGATAGAACAAATATAATCATGGGCATGTTAGTCTGACTAGCTAACAGTCTGTGGAAGAACAATTCATGAGTCATTTTTACTGATTCGGTGTATTCCTAGACAGTCTTTTCAATTCTGATAATTCATATTTGTCTATATCTATTTGAATTTAGGCATTTTGAGTTTATGTATCTTTCTCCTCAAATGCGCTCCAGGCACTTAAATGGTTTTCAAATACGAGTACACTGAGTGAAAGTAGAACTTATAATCCATGTTTTGTGAATTGATGTTGGTTTGTTATTCTTCCAGTGTAGCCCATAATTCTATCAATAAGATTGTCGGAAAGATGAGAAATCAGCAAAAAACTAAAATAATGGGCATTGTTGTTGACCATTCATATCTTACAAGTAGAAAATATGAGAAATTGTGTTTATTTGTAGGATTTTGGTTTTGAGTTTTGGTTTTGAATAGTAAAATTTTAAATTGAAATAGTTAACATAGGGAATTGTGAAGATTCAATGTTATAAATTTTGAAAATAACCAAAAAAAAAAAAAAAAAACAGAAAAAAGGAAATGTTAACCCAAAAAAAAGAAATTTTTTCTCTCACAAAATATTACATCAAAATTACTATTCAAACCAAAACACAAGAAAAAAAAAAAGAAAATAATAATAATCACCAAAAAGAACACTCCAGCATAAGTTGATTGGTTAGATTGGGTTGACTGGAATGCTAAGGGGAAAAGTCGATATGTTAACTCTGAGCATATTACTGAGCAGAAACATTTGTGTTCTTTTTATATAATCAAATGCTCATTGTATAGCAGTTCTGCAAGTGCTGTTATCTTGGAAATTTATGTTACCTATTTGCGAAAAAATTGGACATAAATATCATTTTATGCTTTGTTCTCTCATCACCAATTAGTGAAGTTTATTATATCCTTAGGTATTTTGTGAGCTCTAAAGCAGGAAGTTGTATTACTCATGTAAGATATTTTTCTTCGAAAGATAAATTGTCTTATGCTTGAAGTTGTTGTGTTTCGTATTACCTTTGTGTGGTTCTGCTTGTAAGGTGAAAGTGTAATTTTAGTTCGGTAGTAACACTTCTTATTATCTTGGTACTTTAAGTGAACTATTGAAGAAAATGGTCATATATCATACTCATTGTCGTTCTAATGGTCATATATTTGCGTGTAACACTGTACAACAAGACAGAAAGTGATACATGGAGAGTCCATAATGCATTCAGAGTGTCACATACGTATATTTAAATGACCAAAATAATATAGGATGCCCCTTATAGTACCAAAATTTTATTTTGTTTTTCCCTTTTGTCGTGTTTTAACTACATTTTCATTCTGCTCATCAAAATTTTCTTCTTAAAATATTACATCAAATTAGATTTAAACTATTATATTATAAATTTATTCTTTATATAAAATATTACTTTCAACACCTGTTTTCTATTCAACGTTTTATTATTCGTGAAACAACCTAAAACAACAAAATATTTCCAAGATACCACTTAACAAACATGCCGATAGTCAACGCTTGAGTAAGAGCTTTACTCTCTAGCCGGATCTAGACTAGTGAAGTTATGACAGTTTTGGAAACTAGATGTGTAGGCCTAAACCTATTAAACTGAGGTGTTGAAGATCTTCTATGACTTTAGCATGGTTGAAATACATATTGCTTGTTTCACCAACAATAGAGGTTATTAAGACTCTGACAGACCTTTAGCTCGACGACTTCTGTCTTTACGGAAGGATGTCTTTACATGCATATTTGGTTTTGCCTATTGGGAACTCGGGATTTACTGCTATCTGTACATGCCGATTACACATTGTTGATTCTATAACCAACTATAACCCACATAGCTTTAAGGAATGTTGGTGAACGTCCAACTCAATCCGCGCCTTCAATGAAACAGGGATTGATTGTTGCCAAACTACCTCCTCCTAAGGCTGATCAAAGTGCTGAAAAAGCTTCTGGTTCTCCCCATTATTCTGGTAATTCCCATTTATTTTATTCAGTGAGCAAGCTTATCTTGGTTATTGTTTTATTCTGTATAAGAAAATAGGCATTTCCCTGGAGAAATAGCACAAACATTCACGGTGATAGAAATGGGGACTGCGAAATAAAAATATCTCTAATCTCTTGTTTGGTTAGAACAGGAATTGAAGGTTGGGGAATAAATTATTTTTTATTTTCTAGTTTCATTTCTCTCCCATGCAATGAAGTTGAGAGAAAGAAAATTGAGAAAGTACGGTGTGTGTTTCTTTTTTTAACAATTTAGCTTTTATGATTTAGTATGTGTTTATTTGTTATTTTATTATTATTATTATTATCTTTTATGATTTTTATATTATTTCGATCTTATAAAATATCACATTTAAATTATTATTAAAATAAAACATATAAATAAAGAAAAAAATATATATACAACAATATTTTTCTTACCCGATTTATTATTTTTTCCTGATCATTTCATTTTTTTTCTACCAGTAATATACTGCCCCCTTTATGCAGATTGATGTATTTTTTTTTTTTTTTTTTTTTTTATTTCTCAATTGAATTTTCTATTTTACCAAACAAAATAATCCATTATTCTTTATTAAATTCCTTCTATATGCAATTTCATTCTCTATACCAAATGCATTGTGCAACCTCCATAAATAATAAGAATAAGATTAACATAACTCAAGATGGGACACATTTATGTGATTTGCTGGTTTCTAGTTATGTTTGTGGGAACGATGACTTAATTAGGTGACTTATTGATGTACTGTATGTACCCTGGAGTTTAGTATATATGCAAACCCTGAAATGTATTGTATTCCTCTTTTGCAACTTCACATTGTGCAGTGTAGTTTTTACTGACGTGTTTCTTAAGCCATATTTAACTCATAAACTCTATGTATTTAGTTTTTCATAAATGCATTGTTATAGTATTTTTACTCCAAACATGACTTTATTTTTTCACTAATATTCTTTAAATATTCTAGTATTTTATATATCATTTTGAACAACTTTTTTATTTTTATAATTTACAATTAGTTTTTTTAAAAAAATTTAAAAATTAAGAAAAAATATAAAAACTATAAATAAAAAAAATAAAAAGATTGTAAAAAAGACAATGTAAAAAATTGCCGTAGCCAACTGACGCCAAATTTACCAACCTAGCGCCATAGCCTTAGCAAATCAATACTTTTACTTTCTGTTCGTTAGATGGTTGGAGTTCATTATATTAAAATTTCATTTTATATGAATGAGGTTGAGAAAAAAGTTGCTCTCGGCTATGCCATTTGGATATTTGATTAGCCATTCAAATTTTGCCTGGGGACAGCTTAACATTTTCCTTATTCTTGGTGAATTTATTTCAGGCAACAACTTGAGCAGCATTCCCAAAGACAGTGAACTATACAAAGCAAAAAAGAGAGAAGCTCTGCGCAAGTTTGAAATGTAAGTAATAGCACAATTCTTTAACTCACACGAAAATTCCATCTTCATTGTACACTTATTCATGCTAGCTTATCATATCTCAATTTTTGTCTCCGTTCCAGCTTAGTGGAGCTGGAGAAAGAACTCGTTGCCACTTTTCGGCAGGCATGAGAACTGTAACAACCACAGATTTTGTTACCACTGAAGCGACCAGGGGGACCTTTTGCTGGATTTTTGTTTTGAATAGATTTGATATATGAAGCCATCAAGTTTCCATGCTTGTATGTATTGCAGATATTTGGAGTCGAAGATGGTATTTCTGGGAATCGGGACTATCTGGGTACTCATAGATCAATCAAAGAAGCTACTTGTCTTTGTCCCAGCAATAATGATGTAGAAATTTGCTCAATTGCATATATATGTATACCTGCCATTTTAGTGAACAAGAGAAGAGATATGGGTTTCGGGTAGTAATTACTGACACTTTGTTTCATTCTCAAAACTTGATGATTTCTTTTATTACAATACAAAGTATTAAGAGGATTAAGAAGGACTGATCTATATGCTAAGTGCTCATTTTAAGTGCTATTTAATGGCTAAATAATCTAATTATAATTAATAGGCTAATTACAATTAATAAATAAATACAAATACCTTTTTTTTATACAAAATGAAGTACTTCTAGATAGCTGATTAGTTTTTTAAATTCAAAAAAATTTTCAAAAATTTAAATTACCAAACACTTAAATTATTGGTCAAACAGCTAAAACTGTTTAATAATAAACTAAAAACTTTTTCAAAAAGTTATTTCTCAAACACCTCTATATTACATATATTATTTACTACTCCAATATAGTAATTTTTAAAATACCTAAATATATATTTAAATTTTTTTAATCATAAATATTAAATTTATTTTAAAATTATTAATATTAATAATTATATAAAAAATAATAAAATGATATTATAATTCTACATTATTAAATAATTAAATATTATTCTGTGTATAATGAAAATTTTTGTTCCGCGTGTCATAGGGTGTGTTTGTTTGGGATTTGGATTTTGAATTGGGATTTGAATAGTAAAAATTTTGAAGAATTTGAATAGTTGTATGATATGATATAAATAGGTGTTGAAATGTGATGTTTTAAATGTAAAATTAATTTTTAATATAGTATAAAAAATAAAAAATACGTGTTTATTTAATATTTTTCGGGGAGAAAAAATGGGATGAGCAGTAGAAATGTAATCGACTCCCCCAAACAAACACACTCCTAATGGAAATTGGGACGGAGTGATTACTTACCAAAGTGAAGATATTTCCGAACAAATTTAACTGCTCCGTAATATCCTCGAGTAAAAATATACTTACAAATCATCCAAAAACTGTAAACAAATTTGCTGTATCAATTATATATATTTACATACTTTGAGTGGGGTGTTGCACTATCTTCTTCTTCTTCTTCCTTAAAGCGATACGCAGAAATAGAATTGCAGGAATGGAGAATATTATTCGAAGACCATCTCACGCCGGTTCATGGTACACCGACAACCGTAAGTAAAGCCCCTTGTCTCTCTTATAGTAATTTTAGTTCTCTTCGGTCTTTCTTCACTATGACCTTCCTTTTGGGAGGAAGGGCAAAACACTTAACTTTTTCCTTGTACGCATCCGAACACGTTCTCGTAATTCATTCCGTCTATCTGCTTAAGATGTGGGATCAAACATCTGCCTATTTTTCTGATGATGAAGGAAGAAAAAAAAAAGAAAAAAAAAAGAAAAAGCGAGGGTTTTCTCTTTATGCTGACCATTAATCTAGCTGGGTTACTGAGAGGAAATCATTGGTGAAATTTAGTGCCTTTAAATATTACTTGTCCTAAAATCGTACCTTGTTTAGGATTCCTATGGTTGCGATTCGGAACATGTGATCCCTTCTTGTTTCTGTTCCGGCAACGTGGTTTGCTGCCCCATGTTTTATAACGTTTACCTTTCATTTAGTTAAGAGTGCACTGTAATTGGTAGGTAAAGTATATCCTTCCTGTATGTACAGGGAAGTATTTAACAAATTTAATTTCTACAGCCCAGCAGCTTTACTAACAATATTACTATACTCTGATTTTGGCTTTGTGAAATTTTAGCTAATATACTATCAGTGGAGCTTGATGAGTGGCTTAGAGCATCGGGCATTGCTAAATCTCCCGAAGTAAGAGGTGTAATTGCACCGTGAGTCCTTACATACTATAACTCTTGAAAATAAAGTAAATGTTGAAAAGCCGTAACATGTGTATCTGGTGGTTTGCTGCTCTTTAGTCATGCAGGTTATTCGTATTCTGGCCGAGCTGCCGCCTACGCATTTGGGAACATCGACCCAGCAAACATGTGGGTTTTACCTAACATACTCAGATTTGCCCTGGTTTTATTGTGACCTGTATGTGCATTTTTCAAGTTGTTTCTCTACCTGGTTGTATAAAGAGGTCATTTTTGCAGCTCAAGGGTTTTCCTTCTTGGCCCATCTCATCACCATTACACTCCAAACTGTGCACTTTCAAAAGCAACAATATACAAGACGCCGCTAGGTGATCTACCAATTGATCAAGAAGGTATAATAGCGCTATTTGGATATTTTGGCGATACCTTTTTGTTTATACTAGAACAAATCACATGGCCTCTTACTTTCCTCTCTTTGAAAAAATTCAATATTTTGAAGGGATTATCTTTGTCTTATAACGTAGTATTAGTAAATCTCTATGTTCATCTATAATCTATTATGATAATGTTGCACATGGCTTCAGTTTTTAGATTTTACGAAAATGTATCACTGTGTACTACTTTGTGAAGGTAGATGAACTGCTTTAAAGTGGTTTCTAAATTTTACATTACAGTCCGAATGAGTTAGATGGTTTGAAAAAGTTAAATTGTCTCTTGGTAAGCAGGAGTATAGTGGAGTGGAGCATTTTGCATTAGCAAGTAATAGGTTTACTGACATTCCTTTTACCTTTTTCCAGTAAATGAGGAGCTTAAAGCTAGTGGGAAGTTTGAATTAATGGATCTTCAGGTTGATGAGGCTGAACACAGCATGGAAATGCATCTACCATACCTTGTTAAAGTATTTAACGGGTATGAGTGAACGATTGTTTCATTTTATTCTTTTTTTTTTTTCAAATACTCTTATGCTAGAGAAACACGTGCAGATATACTGTGAAGATTGTGCCTATTCTGGTAGGTTCACTTAGCGCTGAAAGTGAAGCTACTTATGGTCAATTACTGGCTAAATATGTGGATGATCCTACCAATTTCTTTTCCGTGTCTTCAGATTTTTGTCACTGGGGTTCACGGTATGCAGTTTTCTTGATTATTGTTATGAAAGTAATCATCATTACAATTATTTTGTATTAAGTGTCATTACTTGCTTAAATTTGATATTCATTGATTTTCTGTTGCATTTTACTTCATTATAAATGCTTCCATTTGTGCAATTTTTTTGAACGAGAAAGCTTACTGTGTGTCTATGCTTATTGTTGTTAATTCAAGTTTAATGGCAAGTGATATGATGAGTTATCACATGTTTCTGATTTAATGTCAATATGCTATAAGTGAGACTTACTACCACAAAAGAAAAGAGGGAAAAAGAAGCATACAAATAGATTTCTGATCAAAGTAGAGTATGTGTCGTACTTAAAAAGTCAGGTAGCAAAGGGAGTAATGTGTGTCAATAAACATGTCAAAGGGCTCAGATACATTGGTGTGTTCAAAGCAATTTTTCCTTTTTTTTTTTTTTTTTTTTTTTTTTTTTTTTTTTTCCTTTATGCATATTCATGCAATTGTCTTTGTGAAGGTGAACTCATTATGAGAATCTCTCTCAGAGGAACTCCTAGTGATGTATTCAGTTAGTTGCATATGTATATAATAATGTTGTGTTGGAAAATCTTATTTGTTCTTCAGGTTCAACTTCATGCGTTTTGATAGAAAGCATGGGGCCATCTATAAGTCCATTGAGGCAATGGATAAGATGGGAATGGAATTAATCGAAACAGGAGATCCAGATGCATTCAAGCAGTACCTTGCAGAGACACAAAATACTATTTGTGGGAGGCATCCTATCAGTGTTTTTCTCCATGTAAAATTTTCACTCTCTCCATTGTTTGTGTTTATTTATTATTATTATTTATTTTATTTTTGTTGAGAAGAAGCATCCTTGCTTTGAAATTACCCAGTAATACAAAAGATCAAGTTGTTAAATTGATGAAATTCCACCTTCTTGGTGTCCTTCATTTGGAAAGTTGAAACTCCACTTACAATCAATTATTCGAATTTTTTTCTGATTTCTTTTTATTAATATCTCGTTGTTTTGATTGGTAAGCCATTAATTATGAACTTATTCTTATTTTCAAATAAATTCAATGAGGTTTAGGCAAATGTCCAATGCTTTCTATATTGTAACACTATATTGTGCCAACAGCATTATTGGAAAAGATATACTTATATGTATGTACCACTGCTGCTGCTGCCGCCGCCATTAATATATATCCACATGAGCTTTCTGAGAGTGTCAATGTTTTTCGATACCAATAGTTGCTCTTATGAGTCTACTAACTTTGCCCCGTGTTTGTGTCAAATTGCTTCAGATGTTGAAGAATTGCTCGACGAAGATAAAGATTGGGTTTCTTCGATACGAACAGTCTAGCCAATGCAAAGCTATGAGGGACAGCAGTGTAAGTTATGCATCTGCTGCAGCCAAGATTGTGAATTGATGCCACCCCCACTTCCATTTAACAAAATTACGAAATAAATAAATTGAATTCGGTATGTGTTATGCCAATGGTTATTTATTTTTATTTATTTTTGTTCTTTCTTAAGAAGTGATGCTGAGACTGTATGGATGGATATCTTCTGGCATGAGCAACAATTGGATGTTTTTTTTTGTTTGTGTTTTCGTTTTGTGTTGCCGTATGGTAGATAGCAAATATAAGGTGTATTTGTTTGTGGGTTTGGGGTTTTGGGTTTGGATTCATGAATAGTAAAAAGTTGAATTAGAATAGTTGTTGATGAGATATAAATAGATATTGATGTAATATTTTGAATGTAAAATAAATTTTGTAGTATAATAGAAAAAAAGAAAACTAAGGGGCTGTTTGATTCATGACTTTTTTGGTGGGATTGAGATTTCACAATAGGATTTATATATGATGGGATTTATTATATTTAGGATTTGGAATCCCATATTATGTTTGGTTGGTAAAATGTGATGGATTTATATTTCGTGGATTTGGATTTTTTATGTTCTAAATGATATAATTGTCCTCTTATAAATTTTATTTATTTTGACAAATTAAACCTTTAATTCATTATTAATATAAATTGAAAAGATATCAATAATTTTATAGGATGACAATAGATTCTCGTAAACTCGAGACCCGATCGAGCCCGACTTATTTATTTGAAATTGAGTCCAATTATTTGAGTATTAGGCTTGGATCCGGATCATGATCATCAGGGTAATATAATAATAATATATCAACCATACGTATCAAAAAATAATTTCGAATAATATAATTATATTAAAAATATTTTTTGAGTTTAACATATTTATTATTTTATTAATATTTTTTTAATAAAATATATAAATTTTAATATACATTGGATCCGGTACATGTAATTTTAAATTAAAATTTAAGAATTGTAAAAAAAATGGATTTTTCGGATCCATCAAGTCTTATCGGGTATAGTCTCGGTTGGATCTAGTATAATCAGATCCAATTTGAATATCGGATTTAATAATATATATTTGGGATGAATATGAGTTCCGACCGAACCTGACTTATGGTCATCCCTATAATTTTATAATTCAAATAAAATTTATAATAAATAATAATTTAAACAATAAATTTATTAATTTATTTAAAAAATATTGTACAATAAAAAATAATATAAATTTAATTAAGTATATAATTCAAATAATAATTAATGTTAAAATTATTTAATTTTTTATATAAATATAATACTATTATTTTTTTTTTATAAAATGATATAAATGTAAAAATTAAAATTTCAACAATAGGATTTAAAAGTAACAGGGTATCCCATTAAAAACAAAGAAAAAGGGAGAGTTGGATTTAACTCCCTGTCAGATATAGTCACTTACAATTCAGTCCCTATTGAATATGAATTAGTCTGCACTCCCTACTTTATGGATTAGATATGTTATGACTCCGATTTGTATTTATCCCTCAATTATTGTTGTATACGCAATAAGTACTCAAAATAAGTTGATCAATACTTCTAATATTGTAATATATACCTACATTACTTCCCGCTCTACCCCCATTATAATCTTATATACTTCTAGTTAAATATCACGTACTTTTTTCGCGAATTAAAAAATAAATGAAAAAGAAAAAGATAGTTACCCACGATTTAACAGGGGTTGATGAAGAAAATCTCTTATAACTTCTCTTACCCCAATTTTAAACCCTACCTCTCTCTTCTTCAGGCGAACCGACGCTCTTCAACCCTTGGCAATAATGTAGCGATCGGTTGGTGCAAAAATGCTGAAGAAAACAGTTGATCGCTCTCATCCCCGAGACAAGCTCGAAGAAGTAAGTTCCTGGCTGGACTTTTTCTGATTTTTTATTTTGTTGATACTAATATTTTGTATGTAGTTTGTTCGATTGTTTAGGGTGTAACTCTTGGTCTTGTGTTTGTATGTCTCGGTTTGGTGTTGAGGAGCCCTGTGTGATCGATGTAGTTGTGTTTGTTAATCGGGTTTAAAATTGTTTGTATGTTTGCCCACGTAGACCGGGTTGGATTTTTTATTTTGGTACCGATATTTGGTGATTTTATTTGTTTAATATGTGTTTTTTTGTTAATTTTGTAGATGTACATTTTGTTTAGTTATCCGTAGTTGCATATTTTAGTTTTTTTGTTTGATTGTTCGGTAATTAGTCATGTTTGTGGGTTGGCAAATGTGGTATTATTAAGTACCCCGAGTTGCAGTTTTAGGTCTAGTTTGCTAAGTAATATACTTTTAGGGACTAATGTGTACTCGACATGTGTTGTTACGTACTCCTGATAGATTCTGATAAATTTTAAAAATATTCAGATTTGGGTAATGTACTGATGATATTTATTTACAGATCGTAGTTAAAAATATTCAGATTTGGGTAATGTACTGATGATATTTATTTACAGATTGTATGTCGGATTGTGCTTGTTATTCAATTCACAATGCGATCCGTTCGGGCAAGGGAACACGAAGAAATTGGCAGGTGTACAAAATAAATATAATTAATTTATCATGGATAAACCGAATTACGTAACAAAATATAATGTTATTTTTACAATTGTGATTTTTATGCTTGTACCTGAACGTAATATACCTATGACCCATGGTAAGGAAGATGCCCGAGTACGTAAGATGTCGGAATCAATGTGATACTCTCGACTGTGGTCTTTTGGTCTGCATGTTTGGCAAGTGTTACGCTCACACGAATCCAACAGTCAATCCCATTGGTGGCATCAACGGTGAGTTTGATAATGTGAAGAGCTACCACAGTAAAATTGCGGCCAAAATAATGAAAGGTTTGCCCTCCGAATCATAGACTTTGATGAGCAGCACATGTAAGTGAACATCTGTAATGAATTTAGATGGATTTGAGATTGATTTGGGTTGTGTTATTTGTACTTGATTTGGTTAATGTGTTATTTTCTAATTGAATTGTTGGTTAAATTGGTTTGATTTGCCTCATGTTTGATGAGATTGTATTAAGATTGATAGATGGATTGAATTGTAGGTTGAATTTGGTAAAACTTAATGTTTAGAGTAATGCTATGAATTGTGCCATAAATGATTGTATGATTAATTGTTCACATGGTTAGAATTGCAGTAATGCATACGTTGTACCTCCACAACGGATCGATGTACCTTGTAATGCTATCCATCTACATATATATGCTCATATAAATGTTATCCATCTGTTAGGAATGTTATCCTTGTACGAAGACAACAACCAACCAGAAAACTTATGCATACGAATTTTAAATTGGAATTAACTAATTCATTACAAGAGCTTGCAATGGTTGAAATAATGTTTGCAATGAACAAAAATGCATTCACGGATACTTAAGTACATTAATGGTGGACTAAAAAAAAAGTATATACATGTGTTGCGAAGGTTTATGCTCTTCCAATCGCTGCCATTTCTCTCAACCACCAATGAAGTGAAGAATTGCTAATAGAAGAAATGTTTTCATCAAGTTCCTTAATTGCCTTATCCGTCAAGGGATTGACTGAAGTCGACCACATTCAAAGATACTTGCTTTTACATAAATACTACCTAAGCAACCATCAATCATACATTGATTGTCAATGCTCGTACCCAGAACACATATTTATATACCTTCATTAAATATCAACTACCCTTAAGTAGTTTTTACTTACATACAATATGATTTCGTATGCTCTAGTAATGAGTATTTATGCCTTGGTAACTTGTACTTAAAAACCGATCATTCTCAATTTGAAACATTCAATTGTGTCAGTAACCATGGATGAATTCATCATTATAGTTTCTCGCGAATCCTAGAACTATATGTAAAGGTAAACAACACATATTTACTATAGATGGATAAATAAGACAAAATAGTTAGTTAAATTGTGTTGGTTGTTATTCATACATGCTTTGTTGTCTTCCTATTGAAAAATATGGCATAAGTTGTTAAATATAAATGTACCATGCCCAAACTTTGAATATAAAATTATAACATGTCATTCCTTCACACAGGTTAGCATCAAATGATACCTAAGTCTTTTACCAATATACCATGGAACTAGTATCTCATATGCTCTCATAACTAGTAAATCATGCATTGAAAACATGTGCTTGGGAACCAAATCATTCTCGGTTCAAAACATTTAATTATTATCTATAACCAGTAATAAATTCATCATAATAGTATTTATGTGAATTCCACAATTGTATGTAAATGTAAACAACACATATATATTATGGATGGCTAAACAAGTCATAAATGACTTAGTTAAATTATATTTTTTGTAGTCCTACATGTTTTGTGGTCTTGCCATTGAAAAGTGTGGCATGAGTTGTCGAATATAACCGTACCATGTCTAATTTTTTCCAACAAGGCTCAGAGATGAAGTACTCTCACCGAGTTTGTGAATTGGCTCCTCCATCAGTAGATCAACTAAAATCAACCATACTCACGAATACTTGCTACTATACAAATAATACCTAAGCAATCATTATTCATACCTTGAGTGTCGATGTTTGTGCCCGAAGCACATACTTACATACCTGCATCAAATACCGATATACCATGTCACAAATCTTACATACCTATAATAGTGGTATCATATGCTTCAATGACGAGTATATATACTCTGATAACCTGTGCTTAGAAAACAGACCGTTTATTGTTCAAAATATTCACTTGTTGTCGGTAAAAAATGATAAATTCATCGTGATAGTATTTCCGCGATACCTTGAATTGTATGAAAAGATAAATAACATATAGTTATTATAGATTACTAAACAAGTGAGAAATAACTTGGTTATATTGTATGATATACGTACAATTATAATCCAACCTTCACTTGTAGATGGTTAAACAAGTCATAAATAATTAAGTTAAATTATATTAGTTGTTAGTGTAAATAATTACAGCCACAAATTAAAAATCTTTAGACCTATTACATAGTAATTCACACCATAACACACACAACAACATTCAAGTGAAAACACGAGTTGTAATCTACTACTAGGACTTCAAGTGTTTTTTGTGTAATAGGATAAACACATCTTTTCTAAAATATTTTTACCCATAACATAATAATCCAAATTGTCACACACTCACAAACTCAAATATCAATCAGTTAGAAACATTTTAAAAAATAGTGACTCGGTTGAGCAGGCAAGTACTCCAACACAACTCCGATGTACCCCTGTTACATTTTCAGAAACCTTTATTGTCAACAAATCATATATAAAAAATCATCATCACATACCTGCAATTTTCGTTCATCTATCATAATATATCAAATTTAAAAAAGAGCTTCAATGCAACAGCACTTTTACTATTTTATATTTACGTACAATATTACATTATGTTTAGCACACCAAAAGTAATTACAAAGAAATGATTGACGGACATCCTATCAACATAAAAAATTACACCTTAAAATATATACAACAATTGCGTATGGCTTTAACCAAGTACCACATACCAAGTTGAGTACTTCTGCGGCTGCAATTAAGATATCAGCTTCATGGCAAATTTGTTCTGAATTTTCGGTAGTGGATGAAGAATAATCACTTTTGTATGATGTTTCTGCCCATAAATGAATAAAATATTGATGTTCAGTAACTTAGGGAAACAAATGTGATTATATAATTAATTGCACAATTAGAGTACATAAATATAATATTTTTACGCACTAATTTAAATCTACTAGACTAAGATCAATTATAATTATATATACAATATATATATCAATACCCGAATAAGTAAGGTTGCAGGCAATCCATCAATGTTACTTTTACCAATCACCACAACATTTTTTTATATAATAGCAACATTAGACTGTAGAAGAAACTCAATGCAATCTTTAGGAGTACAAGATATAAACAATATTTTTGATTAATTTATTATATGACAAAACCCAATTATTTACTTACTGAGCTCATTCTTGAACTACACAATATGAGTTTTCCGTCACCTCACTTCCAATTTGTTGCCATCCATTATCTACGATTAGAAAATGTTGAGGTATGCTTCTTTCAGTCAAGTTGCATACATATGAATAAGTTGTTCCCCAAATTATTTGCATTAATTTCTTTTCATTCACCATACAAAGGTTATGTACTTAAAAATCATAACCTAAAGCATTTTGGTTTCATTTTCTACACAATCAATTGTCAAAATAACGTAAAACAACATCCTATATGCACCAATCAAACCAATCCAAAAGACAAGAATCTGCACAATTAATTGTGGGGGTGGTGTATATACATATCAACATAAATATGAATATTTTAGAGTCCATCATACTTAAGTTCGAAATGTAATCAAACACATGTAATACACCATACTCACCTCCCCAAATACAAAAAAACGAGAAAATAAATAGAAACCAAACAAACACTCGATATTCTGTGTTTTAATTGTAATTTTCAATTCCAACCGAGACCACAAACTTATTTGGTGAAAATAGATTTAGCAATAATTGTAATTTCAACTTCTTTTTTTATTATTACATTGACTGAATTCTTCCCAAAAAAATTGCAATTACTTCCGTTCGAGATTAAGCTACTAGGGTCAATACATTTAATTTTACAATAAAGAATCACCTGAGTGCTCCAACTTTTCTGCAAAATAGGATGATCATTGTGAATATATATCCCGGATCGATAAGTTTATTCGAACAAACCTGATAAAAAATACAAAATAAATAGCGGAAGTAAAATTCAAATAAAATCCAAATCAATATTAATACCGAATCGAAATTAAAATTAACATCGTAAAAACGAAAGGCATAATAGAGAAATCCAAAGAAGAAATGCAAATAAACACATCTAGTTAAGGACAATTTAAATAATTGTACTCACTTTCTCTGGAATTGAATAAATTTTCAATTCTTGCATCGATGAAATCGATCGACTCGGCGGCTTGGCGCGGCTGGACAGCAGCTCTCCTCCGAACAGACCCGACCAGCCTCGGACATTGATCGGCAGCGACCGATTCTCCTTACATCTACACAAAAATAACACTGAACAACGACAGAGAGATCCATCGGTGGACAGCGACAAAATCGCGCCGAACTTTCTCCGATCTCCTTTCTCGATCTTTATCGCCGGGTTGTGGCGCCAAAAGGATGGGGCTGACAGTCGAAATCAAAGGCTTCCGACATCGTCGATTATCGCCGGAGTTCAATTCTGTGGTAAAAGAATCGCACGAATTTAACCAACGATTTGGAGTGGGTTTGAGAATTAATTTGGTATGGGCAGAGAGTAAGAATGACGGAAATTTGTAAAGGGGGGAGTGCAGTGTAAAAAATTAGTATTAGGGACTGAATTTAAATCTGCTAATGGGAATGGGGATTTAATTCCAATTGTACCTAAAAAAAAATCCCTTATTTGTAGGATTTTAGACCCCTTTTTCAAATCCCATCATTTTAAATTTCACCTTTTTTTTCTTAACCAAATATGGATTTCATAGGATTTTAAAATCCAAATCCCATGAATCCCATCAAATCCTTGAACCAAACAGCCTATGATTGTTTGGTTTAATATTTTTTTGAGTGAAGAAAGAATTTAAATAGTAAAAATATGTGTTAAAATTCGTTGAGTTGTGGGTTTGTATGAGGAATATTTTGATTTGGTTGAATCTTGGCGTCTTTGGGGCTGTTGGGTCGTCTAGTTACATTTTGGCTTTCTTTCACTTATTTTTCAATTTCTTGTATTGTAGTTTTGATCATTTAGGATTAAATAATTTGATTAATTTGAAACTGAGCTGAACAACAATGATTTTTTTTTTAAATAATTATTTATAAATATATTAAGTACATTATTTTATTTTTATATATTTTTTAGGTTTTTTAATTAATCGTTACGGTTGAAATACTACCAATATTGATAGGATAAACTTCAAACTTAT